AAAAAATTACTTTTTTGCAGCTAAAAATTAATGGAACTAGTATTAAAGTTTAAAGACTGGAGTAGTACATGTTTTGACATCCCTAAATAGCTTTAGAAAATTATTACTTATTATTACCTCCATTTCTTTAAGTACTTTACTTATAATTAATATATTTATTGACGTATAATTAAAAGTGATAATAAATAACCTAATACTTTAATATTTCCTCCGTCTCCTAATATAAAGCCTCATTTTCTTTTTGGGTAAACCAAAATACAATGCCTCTTTCTATTTAAAGGTTGTATATTTTTTACATTATTACCCTTTTTTGATGAGTTGTCATCTTTTTTCCTTTACTTTTTTGTACTTTTAACATCAATTTCTTTTTTGATGAGAATGGATCAAAGGCATTGCTGTCCACATTAGTTCAACATCTGCCCTCATGGCTGAAATACTAGCCATCTTAGCTGCATCTTGGGCTATTTGGGAGAAATGGGATGATGTTCAGTTCCACTCTGACTGTCTAAGGGCTGTACAAGGAGTTAACAAAGCTATGATTGGTTCTGATGAAATGGAGAACTATTACGCTTTATGCAGGGGCCTAATCTCAACCGTAGGAAGGGGAAAGCTGTCCAAGGCATCAAGGGCAGAAGTAAAGGAAGCGGATGTGGTGGCCAGGCAAGCTGTGTTGGGTGTACATCATTCTTCTAGTCAGTTGATTACTGCAGTTTCTATTCTACAATAACATTTTGTAATTATTCAAAAGCCAAATGTGGCTCAAACTTCGGTCTGTATTAGCACTAATTTCTCTTTTGGTACAAACTTAGTACGTGCTAGCTTAACTGCTAATCAGCAGTTAATGGTAGGGGCGGGATGCCCACTAACCCATCAGCCACCTTAAACTTGGAAGGTGCATTTTGTAATTAAGGCTTAAGCCAGCTACTTATTTAATCTAATCTATGTTCTGTTTCCTACCTAAAAAAACAAAACATCAATTTCTAACACTTTCTCTCTCTATCTCTTCAATTATTCCCAACTACTTTTTCTTTCTCTCTATCTCTCTCTAACCCCACATACATATATGTACTTTTAATCATTAGTTTTAAAGAATGTACAACTTTCTTCATTTTCGCGCAAAAACTAAAAGATGCTTTGTATTAGGGGACGGAGGGAACATAATTTAAAATTAAATATGATGGCTTTCTAGAAAAAGCTAAGTTTTCCATGTAACGTAGCAGTAGCTAGGAATTTGAGTGAAATAATGAAAGTAAAAAATACTCCCTCTGTTCCTATTTTTTTGCCCCATTTAACTGTGCGCGGTTTTCAAGACGCGTCTTAAAACGTCTATATCTTTATTTCTATATACGTAAAAATTATAAAAATATGATATTAATAAAATATACAATGAGACAAATCTAACAAGACCGCTCATGACTATATCATCTTTTATAGATTAACGGTAAATTATGGTCAAAGTTTTCAAAGTTTAACCCAAAAAATGGCAATGGAGCAAAGATAAAGGGACAGAGGGAGTAGTAAACATGTGTATGATTTTCAAAAATAAGTAAACATGTGTCTGCGTGCCTCATAGATCACATGATATGATATGCTTTACTTTGTATGTAAGTTCGATACCAGGCCAAATCAATAGTTGATTGATATACTATGCTTCAAAAGCTTTTTACTAAAGTAGGGCTTCATTATAATAACACCTTCAAGTTATTTATGATTCTTGTCCTTTGCGTGGGAATCAATATTTTATATTTATCCTCGTAGGATAGGATGGAGGCATTATTGGGCCAGATTTTTGCATGGGCGTATGGCTCGGTTAGATGGTTGCATCGGTATGGAATATAATTGTTAATTATATAGTTTTCGAATTATTTTTTTTTTGTCTATTTATACGAATCAAACCCACCATTCCTTTCCCAACCCAATTTCTAAATTTTTTACCTCGGAGTTTTGAATATAGATGTCAAAAACTTACTCATCGATCCTGACTAAAATATAGCCCGATTCAAATTTCTACTTATATGTGCATAACGAGTTTGCATGACTTCAACCTGAAATGGACCTGATCCGACGACCCAAATAGTCCGTACTGAACCTGATCCAATTTTCCAAATCGACACCTCTAGTTTTGATTTATGGATTCAATATTTTTCAAATTATCACCCAAACACGTGTTATGGGTTTAAACTTTAGATCGATCATACCCTATATATACTTAGATTTTGTGAGTCAAACATACACTTAAGTACCAATGTCGTGAGAAGTGAGGCCTATCGTTAGAATATATGAATCTTGTACTATTAAAATTCATTCCTTGAAATATTTAGAGAGCTGAGGTTTGGAATATTTTTTTATATTTATCCTTTGCGTAGTAATCAATTTAGGATTCTTAGAAGCTAATGCTTAAATGCGAATATATTTCCTAAATGTTCTACAGAATTATATGCATTTATGTAAATGTTAAGAAAAAAAAAATTAAAAGAGAAAAAAATGATGACAAAAAGTGATAAAGAAAAAGTACGTAAACAAGTAGGAATAAAATCAAAAGTGAAAATTTGTTTCGTGTAGTATTTAGATAAGTTTGGAACATGTTTTAATATTCCTATACGAAGCTTTAAGCTATTCAATAAGTGTTTTATAACATGTATTTTTGTTAATTTTATTGAAAGACGGTCAATTTAAAAATAATTTTAATATTTTTTAATGGTAACTTTAATTTAATTTAACCCATTTAATCAAGCTTCTTTATTAGACATACTTATAACGTGCAACACTGAAAATATAATGTACCTGTGGTAGATTATAATTAAGTAATCATTTGATTTTGTAACTTAATTCAAACATTTACTTTTGTTAGAGTGCAATTTGGCGCTTAGCTGCTATTTGTTTGGGATGCATATAGGAAGGCTAATTGGTAAATTCACTTAATTTTTGTGATTTGTTATTGCTACAATGGTATTTTTAATGTAATCTTATACTTACAACGGTATTTTTAATGTACTATTATACATATATTTTATATTACTAAAGTAAAAGTTGTTTTAGTAGTACTATTTATAGTCATTATAGGCAACAGTGGTACAATATTTGTACTACTAGAAGAAAAAAAAAATTCACCACTTTTTTGTCTTATATCTGCTATTTACGTGCTAATAAATAGCAGCTATGCGTCAGTACTTAACCCTTTCGTTAAACAAGCAGTTTCAATTGCAATACTTTACTTAATTTATTTTTAGTTGATACTGAACACTTTCTAATCTACTCAAACAATATTGCTAGTGAGAAGAGATAGTGATAAATAATTAAAATATTAAATGGTCTATATCATACAAGAAACTTTGACAATTAAATTACAAAATCAACATAGAATAAAAGAGTGACAATTAAATTAAAACTAGTTTTGTGCCCGGGCGATGTCCATTTTATTTATTAAATTTTAGGATAAATTTTTTGTCTTAATTACCAACACTTAACACATATCATTGACACAAATCATATTTTATAAAAAGACATAATCTCTTTTGATTTAAGATATTTGAGGTATGATACTACTCCCTCTGTCTCATAATACAATACCTCTTTTATATTCATAAAGTAATATATATTACAACTGGTAAAAGTTGATTGTTAGTAATTTGGGATATTACAAACTATATATTTTGTACAAAGTATAATATAACAGTCGTATTAGATGTATCATAGATGTTTTCCTAAAAAAAAAAAAAAATGATGTATCATAGATCGATGTACTATACAAACATACACAAAATTTTTTGAAACCAAACTAACTTCTAACCTACCTCTATCGAATAATAGGATTAATGGGATCATCATACCACTTTAGTCTATAAGACACCATGACTTAAAAAAAAATAAAGACCATAAAAAAACTACTTTGTACATAATTAACTTCAATATGACCTAAAGCATATAGTAGTAAAGCTCGATTTTTACTCTTAAAGCAAATATCTACTGTGGTAGGAAGGGTATGAAGCAAAAAAAAGATGTTAAGAGTGGTGCCTAAATTTATACTGCTAATTATCCAATTAATATAATGTATGATTCCATTAATTTTTAATATGGGAAAAGTGTTACAGTAGGCATAGGATTTTAGTTACTCCGTATTTATTAGTGCCATTAACTATATTTGTAATATAATATAATTAATGATAAATATTAACCTATCAAGACTTTTATATTTAATCAAGTTTATTAAATAGCGTGTAAATGAAGTAGAATTCGGCTTAATAACAGAGAAAGAAGTTAAAACGCTTAAGTTTATGAAAATTACCAATGAAATCTATTTGGTAGTATGGACGGCCTCGTGGCCTCTATGATTCTTTTGTAATTCGGTGGTACGACGACATATAATATTTGAAATATTGATATTTCATCGAAAATAAAACGCTAAATCAACAATTTTATCCTTAAACTATATCCAAATTTTATTGAATGTAAAACTCTAAACTAACTTTTTTATTTTACAAAATCTATTTAAATCTATGCAATGTTTTTATCCTACGTGTCATACTAATAATTAATTGTTGTATACGTGACGCGAAACTTGGCAAAAAGTTAAAACGCCAAGTGTCGCTATTTCGTGGCCTGACTAAAAGTTTAACTTTATATATATTAATTATATGATTAGACTACATTAGAGAATGTTAATTAGTCTATACAAATAGTAGGTTGTTTGACTTTCCTCTTACAAATTACTATAGCCCCAATGCCCTAAAAGGTAAACACATATTGCGTGCCTTTTAATTATGTTAAAGAGCCAACTCAACCAAAAGCTTAAACTTATGGTTGAGGTCCAGGAATATGTTTTATACTCTATCAAAATAAGTACTACGTAATAAAGATTCTTACTGGCTTGCATTTCACCAAAGTTTAAGCATTCTAGCTTGTATAATATGGATTTGCTAAAGTAGTTGCTTTATTATATTCGTTTTATTAATGTATCGCCTAAAATGCTTCTAAAAGTGACAGACAATATATATAAATAAACCAACTTGATTATTCATATGACTCCAAACCACACTTGATTTTAGAATTTGTTTCTAAAACTCCAAAAATTCCCTCAAACCCAAAATTCCAATCATGACATCCTCGAAAATGGATGAAGAGCTGAGAAATGCAGCAGTGAGAGGAGATGTAGACTTCCTTAAACATTGTGTTGAATCCAATAAACCCATCGAATACTACTTGACTTTCTATCCTGAGGAGGATGACCAATCTGGAAGACGCCATCATGGCAACATCTTCCACATGGCCGCAACCGAAAACCAAGAAGAGTTTATAAGAGAAGCCATGGGGATTTTACCTCAAGAAGCCAAGCACCAACTCCTTGTTCAAACAAGGGGAATAAGCAAGTGGAACCCTCTTCATGTAGCAGCCAAAGTTGGTAATATAGAGATAGTAAAGATGTTTATCGTTGTTTACCATCTCATCTTTTGGAACATGAACGACCCTTGTTTTTCGTACAACTCATTTTTTTTTTTTTTAATTTTTAAGAAGTAACATACAAGGAGGAGTTTAGGTACATCTAACATCAATATGAATCAAATAAAATCTTATTAATTACGTGATTACCTTTTTCTTTATAAAGTACTCCGTATAATTTAGTGAGAGTTAAGATATACGAATATATGTATATTAATATATATATGTATATATACATGAACACACAAATATACACACATGTGCAAAATTATAATCTTTGAAAACCTTTTTTTATTTATTACAGAAGAAATCTTTCGAGAACTACTTCAGAGAGAGCCAGAGCTAATTAAACAAAAAAAAAAGAATGATTTAATTTGTGGGCATATTATGGTAAAATTTGGCCATTCAAAATTCTCTTAGATTGTAAGGATATCATTCAAGATGTAAATAAGATTTTCACATACTTGGTATCTTCAACGAATAATAATAATGGTGGCAATCCATTACACTACTTGGCTAGATATGCCCGGTGTACAGAAGATGCTACAAAAATTGCAGAAATGCTGATAGATATTTACAAAAAAGAATCACCAAGCCTTTCAAATAATCAACATCCTTGGTTAGTGAAGAACATTGATGGAGATACACCTTTGTCATTGGCCATAGCCCAGAAGAATGTAAATCTGGCAATATATTTGTTGTCAGTGGATGAAAATGTAGTTATCGAAAGTAAGAAGAATGTTCTATTCTTGGCTGTCGAGGTTCAATGTCATACACTTGCCGAAGAGATATTGAAGATAATCGATAACAAAGGTTGGACTCAACTTCTTACGAATCATCAAAAGCTCAATATCTTGCATCTTGCTCCATTATGCACAGGTGAGTCCACGATCTATTTATCTTTCTTTTTTACCTTTCAGTTATAGCATTATTATTGATATATAATAGATAAAAAAATATGGATATCTCTTTAGTTTTCTCTTTCTCATCTTTACTATCCTCTAAAACCTAGAGCAATGCAAAGAAATAAAACGTTTTTGTCATGATTTATCCATCTTAAGTTGACATGGTGCAGCTATATAATTTACACACTATATAATCTATAATTCCCTTTTATTGGAAACTTTCTAATATTCTAATACTTCCCACTCATTAATATCTTGTTTGGTTATACAGGAAGTTAATTCTTATGAGTAATCATATTTCATGGGATGTTACTTTCCACTTCCAAATCCTAGGAATTTTGGTATTCTTGTTTAACTTGGTTATAAATCAAAGGAGCTTGAAATTCCCTAGCCTCGAATTTTTATTAATCAAAGGGGACCATGGTAGTATATTTATGAGAAATTCTAATTTCGATCCTATGATTTTTTACTTCCTCACTTTACTACTATGTTTTTTTTTTACAGATACTTTACTACTATGTTGTTATCAAACAAACACCCTCATTTGCATATTCCCATAAATTTTGATCTATTTTCCTCAATTTTAAAGATTAACCAAACAAGCACTCTCGAGTCTTGAACTCTGCTTGGATAAAATAACAAATACAGAGTAAAATGTTTCATCTCATAATAAAAAGCGAAATAATGAATTTTTTAATTAACAAATTATACGAGAATATATATAAATAAATGAAAAAAATTTGGGTGAGTCGGACTCACGGTGAGTCCAATATATCTTACATACATAATATAATATATGACATTAATAATTTAATATCTAACATTAATAATCGAATAAACTCATGTCACATATTAGATTACAATTGTCAGATATTAGATTACTAATGTCAGATTACTATTGTTAGATATTAGATTGTTAATGTCATATATTCGATTATTAATGTCAGATATTAATTTCTCATATTAGATATTAGATTATTAATGTCAAACATTAGATTATTAATGTCAGATATATTAAACTTACGGCGAGTTCGATATCACGCCAAACTTTTCCTAAAATAAAAAAAAAAAAAAAATAGCCAATTATTTATTTAATTGTACCATGTCGATTGACTTTACACATAATTCATGGTGCACAACTTTGCAATTACTAATAACTTTAACTATTCACAGTTTAAATTTGTTAAAACTTGAATTATACACACTACCTCCATTTTTATATCTTTCTACTCTTGATTTATCCCTTTATTGTAAGAAAAATACTCACTTTTATACCTCTATACCCCACTACATGTCCAAAATTTTTACAATTGTTACATTTCAACTTTTGACATTATTTATGTAACATAAGTTAGTTAAAAACGAACATAATCATGTGTGATCATTTTAGTTTTGTTTTCGATTTGTAGTTTCAAAAACCAACTTTTTACGAGTAACTTTTAATAATAATTCGTTAAAGATACTACAGTTAAATTAATGCATTGAAAAATGTGTAAACTTAAAAAGATAAAGGAAGTATAATACACAATAAAATTAGGCTTCTTTTACGTATATTGTTTAATTATGAATGATTGTATAAAAATTATTAAATAGCAATTCTTCTTTACAAGCAGAAAACTTTTGTGCACAACTAATGGAAAGACATCTAGAATTAATCAAAGGAGTCGATAAAGAAGGATCTACAATAGTTCACAGTTGGATAAAAAGTGACAAAGAATGGCTATTTAAATTCATATTGGAGAGCAAGTGGAAATATCAGTTTGTAAAACTTGTTGTTAAGGATTACAATTATCAAAACAATCCTTTTCATGTTGCTGCAACAACCACTCATGAAGCAACAAACCAGATTGTACCACTCCTTGTTGAAGCTTACAAAAAAAAACAAACTTACTTGGAGGGTAAATGCTATCAATCAATTGCCATGGTTTGAAAAGAATAAAGAAAACGAAGGGCCTCTACACTTGGCATTACGCAACAAACGTGAAGATCTTGCACTTTACATATTGACACTACTCACGGTTAATCAAAGTATGTATAAACTGCTTGATTATTACAAGCCAGAGCACTCTACGTTGTTTCTTGCTATACAAAACAATTGCTCTGAAGTAGCCAAAGCCATATTGGGAAAGTTGGATAAGCGAAGCAGGACCAAATATCTAAAAGATTCCTCGACTGGTCGGAATATATTGCATCTTGCTACAAGCTTAACAGGTATGATTTGTTCCACTCTAGTAGTAATCACTTAAATTGAAAGGGTATTTTTTCCCCTACGTTGTAGAATTTTTTTAACACATATCTTCACTAAGAAATAATGTAAACTTGTAAAGTGCTTAGTGATTTTTTTTTATCTGAGGATGGTGGGATTATTTTCTTCTAATTTTTGGTTAATAAATGGAAGCAGATGTAAGCTTTGGGACATGGTTAGTAGATATAGCACCAGAATTCATCACCCAAAAACATAAAAATGGACAATCACCTTGGGATAAAGCGTTTGAATTTGGTCATGCATGGTTTATAAAAGCGGTTTTGGAAAAAGATTCATCCGTGTTCAGTAGGGAACCCCTGGCTTGGACAAAAGCTTGTGAAAAAGGTCATGTCCCAGCTCTTTGTGCCTTCATCGACCATAATCCAGGAGCGTTTCGAGATCTTTGTATTGAAAAAAAGGATTCTCCTTTACATCATATAAAACTGTCAAGTTTAACAAACTATGAAGAGTTTCTCAAGATTCCACGCATGAAGGATCTAATTAATCTTCAAGATTCTCAAGGTGTAACACCTTTACACAAAGCAATACAAGATGACAACTTATTCTTGACTGAAACTTTACTCAGCATTGATAAGATCAACTATGACATCAAGGATGATGGAGATAATTCTGCCATAGATCTATTGGCTCAGAAATGCGCTGACAACCAGGCATGGGTATGATTTCTTTCCAATAAAATTTGCTATATATTAAAATTCATTTAATTAAATGTTATATTCTTTCTCCGTTTTTTAATAGTTGCAACATAATTTTTCACGTTATTTAAGAAAAGTGAGATTCACATTATTTAATATACTTTAAAATGGGGTCAGAGGGTGTTAGAAGTAAATTTAGTGAGCCATGTACTTTAAATAAGGGAAATAGTACAACTTTTCCTCAAAATAACTTTCCAATTATAGTGTGAAAAAGTATTGTGACATTTTGTCATTTCCAGTTTTAAAAAGTGTTGCAAGTACTCCGTATTTAAAAACGGAGGACGTACTTCTATCTGATGTTTCTTTAATGCAAAATAAAAAATAAATATTCTGCTCTTTTTTTATCATTGTTGCAATGCAAAAAGAAGTACGATTTATTCAAGCTTTGTACTACCTCCAGTTCTTATTACTCGCAACATTTGTCAAAAATGGATGGTTCACATTACTCGCAATAAATTTTTTTCTTTTCTTTTGTAGTAAGTTTTTGGGTGTGAAATGACCATTATACCCTTAATTTTTTTTAACAACCTTACTAAACTACAAATCTGATATCATTAGATTAAACCTTAAGCTTAATTAATTTCACCCTCATCCCCATTATTTTTCTTTCTCCTCCTCCTACCCCATTCTCATGGTGGGTTTAGCGGTGGTAGGTTTTAGATCGTGGGTTTGTCGGTGGTTTCAGATCGTGGGTGGTAGGTTCACAACGTGGGGTTCGTCGGTGGTAGGTTGGTGGGTTCACATCAGTGGGTTTAGATCGATGGGTGCGTGGGTGATAGGTTCAGATCGGTGGGTTCGTGGTTGGTGGCTTGTGGCTTGTGGCTTGTGGGTGTTTTATTCTAGATATGTGGGTTAGCGGGTGTTGATGAGTTCGGTGGATTTGGTGGGTTTCTGCGGCTCGTGGGTTTGGTGGGTTTTTGCGGCTCGTGGATTCGTGGTTTTGGTCAATTGTTTTCAGGGGCGAAGCCAGGAATTTACTAGTCGGGGGCCGGTTTCATATAGATTTTTTCTTAAGAAAAAAAAAAACAAAAAAACTATTAGGAATTATTAGGGGAAAAAAATGCAATTATTAGATATTTATAAATACCATTGTCAAAACTTGATCATTCCACATGTATATAAGTTTTTTTTTTTAAAAAAATGTAATTATAATGAAAAAGGTAGTTGGAAAAAAGGGAAGAAATGGCTTTGAGAAGAAGTAGAAGTAGAAGTAGAAGAGACCACATTATTTTCATATGTATGTATTAAAAAAAAATTCTAAATCAAAATATACATTTAAAATGATATAAATTGGAAAGAAGGGGAAAAACTGACTTTGAAAATAGAGAGAAGGCAAAAAAGCCTAAAAAACTATAAATTGTAACAAGGATTGATCCTGCGACATTCACCTCATGCCAACAAGCACTGTCATATTCTTTTGAAACCAACTAGGCAACCCAACTTCATTGCTATTTATGTTAACATTTATATTTATTCATAAAACTCATGGGTGCCAACAACATAAAAAACTGGGCTGCCATGATGGGCCGGGGAGGCTAGGCCTCCACCAGCCCCCCGTACCTCCGCCCTTGGTTGCTGCGCGGCTCGTGGGTTTGGTGGGTTTGGTGGGTTGCTACAGCTTGTGGGTTCGTGGGTACTGGGGTCAACAGGGTTCGGTTCAGTGTTGCGGCTGGGTGGTGGTGGGTTCGGTGTTTTGTGGTGCTGGGTGGTGGCGCTGGGTGGTTTTGGTGCTGCTGGGTGGTGGTGGTAGGTGGTTTCGGTGCTGCTGGGTGGTGTTAGTGGTGGTGGGTTATTTAATTTAATTTTGGTTGAATTTGTTTTTTTTTTTATTTTATTTTTGAGTTAGATATACTTAAGTATATCCCCCTTATTTTTCACTAACAATGTATAAGATTTTTTGTCTAAAAGTCCGCAAAACTACTCTTTATTGCGAGTAATAAGAACCGGAGGTAGTATATCAATTTCATGTACACACCTTTAATTGAATTAATTAGGTTGGCAATAATTTATGTGGACTAGGCCGACCACTAGCATACATAGTTCTTTTTTATTTTTTATGTCATATAGTTTTTTTTTCATTTGTTGTTGAAAGCTACTGTAGAAATGAACATCAATTGTGAATCATTGTAGGACCGAATGTGTAAGAGAATTGGACTTGATCCAAGGATTAAAACGACATACTTTCGAACTAAGACGACAAATTTGTTGGATGTGCGAAATTCTTTGTTTGTGGTAGCTGCGTTATTAGCCACCATTACATTCACTGCTGGATTCACTCTCCCTGGTGGATTTACTCAAGATTCGGGTGAGGCAATTTTGGCAAAGAAGGCAGCTTTTTTGGTCTTTTTGGTATCCAATACACTAGCCCTATTTTTTTCAATGTTGGTGTTGATTTGTCTCATATGGTCTATGGTTCTTGATCCAATCAAATCATTGATATTGATTGATCGGAGTATGGTGTTACTCCTTTTGGCACTAAACTGCACATTATTGGCGTTTATGACGGGAGTCTACACTGTCATAGCCCCAAAGTCATTGTGGGCAGCTATCCTTATTATTGTCATCATGAGTTCTCTCATTGGAATTTCAATCAACAAGACTCTCTTGTACCGTGCTCTAGAGTACATATATAAGTTATTCCCTTCTCAAAGTAAGGAGTGCATAGATCGATTTCGTGCGATGGAATTGGTAAGCTTTTTGTTAAATAACTTATACTTCGTACTAATATATTCTATCTTTAAAATTAACAATCTCACTTAAATTTTAATCTTTGGTTAAGGCTAATGTTTGTATTCTACTATAAACATTTGAGTTTGAAATGGCGTGAAAATTGCACACACATAAATGTAGTGTAATTTCAATTCAGTTCTGAGATTCTTGTATTTGTGCACCTAATAAGTTTATAGATTATTAGCTATTGAAACAATAATAGAAATACAGCAGAAAGAGAAAATAGAAGGTAGAAAAAGTGATTAAATTGCAATAATCATTTCTTACAGAAGAGAAAAGTTTTGCACCCTTGGAAATAACTATTATTGTGAAAAATATTACGGCAAAAATATATATTAGTATGCATGTAAAATACTAAAATTATTTAAATGATTGTTGAATCTTGCCTATTACTGCTAGAATATATTAAAGAAGCTAAGCTAATGCATGCACATCTAATACTTAAATCAATGTTTGGATTGCAGGGGTGCGTCCCTAAGACTGAGTAGAGTTCGTGCGTAGTTTTTGATACCGGAATTCGAACTAAGTTCGTCGATTTGATTTACTGTATAGAACTAGTTTTTTTTTTCCCTCCTTACCTTTTTAAAAATTTGAGACCTCTTATAAATGGTGTATAAGATAATTATATTCTTTAAAATGGTTATTTACTTATTTATCTTCATTAATGTTAATTGTCGCTTTTTATTTATATCAAATATTGTGCAGACATTTATAGACCTAAACATATTTATTTATAATCACAAATTTTTCATATGTGGTTGGCCACATGGTGTGGCTAGGGTTACTTATTGGTTACTCGGTCAGATGTTGTGTGATTGGGGTTACCTAGTCAGTGTTTTGGTGTGTGCCAGCTTGACCGGGTCACCTCTTTACCAACCAGTTAACCCCTGAACGAGTAATTTCTAACCAACCGAATAACCTTAACCAATCGAGTAACCCTGAATGGATAACCCCGGCCACACTCTGGCAGCCACAAATAAAAATTTAGGGTTTTCTAAGTTGTGCCCTCGAGGTTCTTGAGTTTCTAAGATGTGCCCATGCTTTTTCAAAATTACAAGTTGTGCCCTCCACCTTAAATTGTTTAGTCAACCGTACCCTTTGACGTTAAATCGACATTAGTAATTTCAAAAACATAGGAAGTAATAAAAAGCGGATGAGAAAAAAGAAGAATTACACCGAGAGCTTGAAATATCAATGATTGCTTTTAGAAGAAAGAAGAAAAGATAAATGAAAAAATGCGGAAAAAATGCTTAATGTTAATCCCCTTATATAAAATCTAACCCAATTTAGACGTGAAATTTCTCTCCAAATCGGGATAATTAACAGTTTACACAATTACTCACGTTGGGTTAACGTTAGAGGGTACGATTAAATAAACACCTTAAGTTGGAGGACACATCTTGTAATTTTGAAAAAGTATGGACACACCTTACAAACTTAACAATTTGGCATACCTTAGAAAAACCCAAAAATTTATGTATTTATATATTTTTACATGGTAATGTTGTCAAATCCATTGCACCGTCATTTATCGTTAGCAAATAAATCAAACCCATAAAACGTACTGATTACGAATTACGATTATGACATAAACAAATTCAGATTCCTCCTATAGCTAATAATCCAAATCTCCTTTCTACAAGTCATTAATCTTACCCCCAAAAACAAAATCACCCTCAAATTTGAGTTTTCAATTTCATCATTCACTCTTTAATGGCAGCTCAAACTTTTTTCAAAAAATTCTTCATCTTTTTTTCACTAATCTGCATAATTTCAAATGCCCAATTACAATCAAAACAAGACGGGTTTATTTCTGTATCAATTTCAGAAAAGGGTCTTGATTTTCTCAAAGATTTATTGACTGACAAAGCAATTTCTTCTCTAACCCCACTTGAACTTCCCCCAATTGAGAGAACTGTAAGAATTTTGCTTGTGGGAAGAGTCAAAATTGTTCTTTCCAACATAATAATTTATCAAATTAATGTTCTTTCATCAAATGTTGAAGTGGGTGATGATGAAATTAGAATCAAAGCTTCAAAAGCAACTGCTAATTTAAGTATGGATTGGAAGTATACTTACCAGAATTGGTTTGTTGAAGTTTCTGATCAGGGAATAGCTTCAGTTGAGGTATTAATTTTATCACTCTTCTTTTAGTTTTACACTGTCATGATGTTTAATCGATGAGGGTTGTCGAGTTTATAACAGTTATAATTTTATCATTCCGGTATGATTTTACTGTAACTGTGAACTGTTAGATGAAACTTTAGGCATATTTGCAGTTTCCTCTTTTTGGAAGGGAAAAGTATATAGACAAAAACAAAAATTAGTCTTTGTTGGAATGTAGTTGTATTTATGGATTGCTAGAGACTGTTGTATTAACGAAAATTCGATCGATTTAGGTGGACTACATAGCCAGAAAAAAAAAAAAACTTGGTTTAGACTTTTCTGGTAGCTATTGCAGGTTTGTTGATTTGAGAAGATTGCAATTGACTGTTTTATGTTCATTGGGAATCTCTAGAGAGCAGTCTTCCTAGTTGTTTAGACTGTTTGGAGGTGATTTAGTGTAAGAATGTTTGCATATGATTTGGCGAAAACCCTGCTTATGTTGTTGGTGCTGTGGTGATCTGTGTGTGGACAGTGGACAGTGGACAGTGGACATGGTTTCTTTTACAAGTTACAAGAGGAAGCATTCGGAGAATATGTTAGCTAAGAGGGATGAGTGATGATTCGCTTGACTTGTGATGACGCCTCTTACAGAGATGTTGCAGCAGGTTTAAAGAGAACACTTGGGCATTCTTCTTGTTATTTTTAGGAGAGCCTGATTAGTAGGTTTAAGGAGAACTTGTCACATTGTTTGTTATTTTCTACTTGTTCATATTTTTTGTCTAGATTACTGCCAGATGAGCGAGAACAGAGTTTTTTGCAAATGGATTGAGTAATTCTTAACTATCTTTCCTGATTTTGATCAAGAATTTGAATGGTTAAACCATTGTAGATATGTGATTTTTGTGTTATTGGTCCAACGGGATTAATGCAAGTTAAAAAAAAAAATGTCTTTGTGCATATTCCTAGTCAGTAGCTAAATGTGAAAGTCATGATCTTTGAGAAGGAAGAGGGAATAGAACATTCATCATTATTATCTACCTCTATCAGTTGTTACTTGGATTAGTTGGATATATTGAAAATTATATCTACAGACTCCTTTGAAGGATTTATGAAACTTCAGAAAATAATTATTAATTTGCTCTTTTGTCAGTTATCGGGAAAAGAAATTGATGAAGGAAACACTAGAAACTGTAGGCCTATCTGTGGCGTCCTCTTTTGGAGAAATGTACTATATATAGACAAAAGCAAGGATCAAATCTTTATTGGAGTGTAGTTGTATTTATGGATTGCTAGGGAGTAGGGACGGTTGTATTATAAACTCGATTGATTTAGCTAATTAGCTGGACTGCAATTCAGACAAAAGCTTGGTTTAGGCTTTACTAGTAGCCATTGTCAGGTTTGTTTAATTGGGAAGATTGAAATTGACTGTTCGTTGCTCCCTGGGAATCTCTAGAGAGCAGTCTTTCTAACTATTTGGAGGTGATATAGTGTAAAAAAATATATACATATGATTCCATGAAAACCCTGCTTATGTTGCTGCTGCTGTGGTGCTTTGTGTGCGTGGACATAGTTTCTTTTACAAGGTACAGTAAAATATGTTGTCGGGGGTTTTAAGGTGAACTTGGTCATTCTTTTTCCACGAGATTCTGTGGAGCCGTCATATTGTTTGCTTTATCTACTTGTTCATTTTTTATTTTTTTTTTTGTCTAGATTACTGTCAGATATGCGAAAGCATATGTTGCAAATGGATCAAGTTTTTCTTAACTATCTTTCCTGTTTGATCTCTATGTTGAATGGTCAAAACATAGTAGATGTTATCTGACTTGTGTTATTGGTCCATCTGATCAAAGCAAAATAAAAATAAATAATAAAAAAAAAAATCTTAGTAGCTTCCTAGTCAATAACTGAATGTGCAAGTCATGATCTTTGCGGAAAAAGGAATATAATGTTGATCAATCATTACCTACCTCTATTAGTTGATACTCAGATATATTGAAATTTATTTTTACAGAGTCCTTTGAAGGATTTATTAAACTTAAAAAAAAATTATGCTCTATTATCAGTTCTCATGAAAAGAAATTGATGACTGTTACTTTTCCAAAGGTTCAAGATATGGAAGCGGGCTTGAAGTTAAGCTTGGAGAACCACGGTGGTGGTCTTAAGCTGTCTCTCCTGGATAGTAGATGTGAAGTAGACGACGTAGATATAAAGCTAGATGGTGGAGCGTCATGGCTATATCAAGGGTATGGTTTTAGTAATTGGTGCTTAAGATCTTAACTCGGTGTCTTTTTTTTTTTTTTTTTTTTTTTTTTTTTTAAAAAAATTTAAAAATTCATGAGCTGTTACTTCTCAAATAAGACTCCAAATTTTGTGGCCTTCAGAAGTCCCTGAGCTGGTTATAGGATGCTTTTAACAGAGTGCATGTGATGCTTAACTCGCAGGGTGGTGGACGCCTTTAGTGACCATATTGAATCAGCAGTTGAGAATGCTATTGTAAAGAAACTTAATGAAGGGATCTCAAAGATTGGTTCCTTGTTGCAGTCTCTTCCTACAGAAATAAAAGTGGATGAATCTTCTGCGTTAAATGTTACCTTTGTTGGAGATCCCACCTTAAGTGATTCTTCCATTGGTTTTGTGGTAAATGGGTTGTTTATTCCAAGGAATGGAGCTCTGGCCACCCCACATCAGCACCGAATATTACAAATTTCAGTTCCATGCTATACTCCTGCTAAGATGATAGCAATGTCATTGCATGAAGATGTTTTCAACTCTGCAGCTTTAGTGTATTTCAATGTAAGTCTTTTTGGCTCGATTGTTTCGTCTCTCGTTCCTCTGGGCCCCATTATGAGTTAATCTTGATACCTTTCTGTTGGCAAGGCATGCTGTTTATAATAAACTTCATTACTAACCTCTCGTCAATTTTAGTTAGTTATGCTTGTTTGTTTTATTTTGTTTTATACCCAAAATGTGTAGTTTTACTCTTTAAATCCTAAAGTATGACCATTCTTCCTACTTTACCTGCCATGCATGCACACAGCGTGTCAGCGTACCTCAAATGCTATCTACTTCCCTCATTAAATGCATGCTTTCAAAACTTAATAGGGATATCTTATGAATTCTTAAATAATAAATGACACAAAAGCATTAATGAACTGTATATTGAATTGAGCCTTGAGGATGTAGTATTTCTATTTAAAAACTATGAAATATTACATATCGCTCATCTTTGCAGAAAACACATTTGGAAGGCAAAGCTACAATCTATGATAAACTCAAGAAATCATCTCTTAGCATTGCAGAAATAAGATTAAGCTCTTCTAGTTTCCATTTTCTAATATATTTGGCTTGCACACTTGTACCAAGCTGAATACTACAGACTTCACCAGTTCACTGAGTCAAAAACCATCTTGCTCAACTTCCTTGCAGCATGTGATGTAGGACCGAAATTAACTACATTTTTCTGTAGTTAGGCAGGGCTTATGGAGTGGAGAGTTGACAAAATACCAGATCAGTCTCTTCTGAATACTAGCGAGTGGAAAGAAGTTGTACCCCAACTTTACGAGCAATATCCCAATGCCAAAATGGCTTTAGACTTATCAGTGGCTTCTCCTCCATATGTGCACGTGTTTGATGATAAAATGGAAGCAACTATCAATGCAGAAGTAACAATTAATGTTGTGAGTGATGGGGAAGCGGTGCCAATTGCTTGCGGATCTGTGGTAAGTTTATATAGCTAATGTGGTGCCTTAGATTACATGCATCTTTGCCAACCAAGGAATATTTTGAATGTTCTGCTGAACTACTTGTCCCTCCTCTCTTAAGTCTTAACTAGCATGACATGATTTAAAACATGCCATATAATACTTATTTCTGAAATCTAAATATTAGACATGATCTTTGCAGAACACATTTAACGGGCTAAACTTGCAAATTTATGATGCAGGTAATTAGTGCTTCAGGTTCCGTTGTAATCTCAGGGAATAACCTGACAGGCAGCATTGAACTGGATAAGTTTAATTTGTCAGCTAAATGGAGTAAAATTGGTGATCTGCAGATTGATGTAATTGAGGTATGCCCTCTGCTCCCATTGCCTGCATGCAAGAGTAATGGTGAATCTGTTAGCAATCTGGTGAAAGACAGAAACCTAGTGCTGTTATTTTTCGCTAATTTAAAAAAATTACAATGTGATGTTATGTTTTATGCAAAAAGCTTTTTCCTGAAGTACTGGGTTTGGGAAATTTAGTATGCTGGAGAGAGGAGGGGAAGTCACCGATCCCCCATGTTTGTACATAGAAGAAGCCAAGGGTAGTGGAAGGGAAGATAAGAGATGTCCTGTTAGTACTTTAATGTCCTTAGTGTTAAAAATCATGGATCCGGGAGGGAAGTAAGATTACATTTGAAAGACCAGATAAAGAATAAGAAAACCTAAAACGTACTTAGCCATTAACAGGGAAATTCGACACCTACAAGAACATTTAGGTCATAGTTGAATAGTTGTATAAAGGTTTCTTGTAATATTTTTGGATTCAAAACATAGTGTATAAATTTATTGGTCATTTATATTGTCGTTGGATGTCTGAAAAAGTTGTCACGTCTATAATAGTATGGTTTATGATTAAATTTTTCCTAGTATGCACTTGCTTAAGTTATTGGGAGAGTTTTGATTAAAAATAACATCACAAATACTCTACTACTTGTGTATATAGTTTTACTCCATTTAAAAATTACTGTAATAGTTTATCGAAATCTAAGCAATGATCTTAAAACTTTATTGTCTATTTTAATATAAATTTTAAAGAAATCCTAATTTTGCCTCTCTGGAGGTTTGGTTTATTACTTCGCTCTTAATTACTAAATTACCTCGGATTTGTGGTTTTCTAGTACGATGACTTGGTAAGATTCATATGAGGATAGGATTATTGGTACCAAAGATAATATAATGGAGAACCTTACTCTTAAAATCTTAAATATATCTCCAACTATGTCTAAGACAAATATAACAGTATATATACATCTTTTAACTATTATATGGGCACAATATTGCAGCCAGTAATCGCAGAGGTGCTAAAAGATGTGCTACTGCCACAACTGAACACGCGCTTGATAAAAGGATTTCCTTTGCCACTGATCCATGGCTTCACTCTTCAGGATGCAGAGATTGTTTACTCTGATTCTGTAGTTACTGTTTGTAGCAATGTCGCATTTACTGAAGATCAGCTTCTGGCAAAATATAGCTTTAGAGACATATTTTCTTTCCATTTGTTCATGTGAAATATACTTCAGTATCCCTTGTGTTGTTTCTATTGTAACTTTTTGTATCTGTAATATCCTTCTCCTGGTTGGATATTTCTGCATTGTAAATCAATAAATCAGAGAAGTCATCTGTACTCGTCCTTTTGTTAATATCTCGTATATTTTCACCTTAATGCATTTTATGATGCTAAGTTGAACATACATTGTTAGAGCTGAACATTTCCGTGTTTTCCACATGAAGCTCTTTTCATAGGAACTTGATGGCTGAAGTGCCAAATTGCATTTTAATTAAAAAAAACAGGGCTTATCTCCTTGGAGAAAAGTTGTGGCATTGGAGTTCAATTGTTCCTGCAAATAAACATAGGATTTTGTTTTGGATGGGATTAAAACTACCATTCCATCTCACATTCCCACAAGGCCACAAGGTCTTACTTACAAGGGGAGCGATTATTATTAGAGATTTTTGGGTATTTATTCTAGTAATAAGGCCCCATTCATTTTATCTTATTTTTCCTGAACTGAAATTATTTTTACTTAACAATGTATGAAAAGTGTATCAAGGCGATTGCGACTTCCCCATGTCTCATTGAAGTGAGAGTACTGAATAAAAAGAGATTTCATTTATATTTTTAAAAAAAAATATTTTGTGCCTCATATGTCAACACTAAAATAAGTTTAGGTAAACAAAAATTAGGTTTGATAATTTTCATTTACTACATTTATTTTTGAAACTAAAATAAGTTGTAAATCAATTTAAAAATTAGTTGAACAGACTGCTCCCTTGACAACATTTTTTTTTAAAATAATAAATTTAATACGTGCGCTAGGATGTATGTTAACTTAGCTTAGTCTCTTAATATGATTTTCTTTACAGTTAAACTACTTTTATATGCTTAATAAAACCTTATTCAATAAGTAAACAATTCTTTACTAATTAAATTTTAATCTTTTATTTTCCAATTGTTTTTTTAACTTCCAATTTATGATTTTATTAATTATAGTAGAAAATATTTATTTTTCTCATCACATACTACTTTAAATCTTCTTTTAAAAAATCTAATTAAATCAAGATAGTTTTCGAGAATGATATTTAAATTTTCAAAATCAAATCCTGTATACAACACTATATCAGTTATGTAACTATCTTTACGATTCTATACCAATTAGTCATTAGTGCAGTGTTGATTGGGGCCACACTTGGTAGGGAGGACTGCGACAACTATTGGGAGATGACTAAAACCTAACCACCCAAAACTGAACCCTGAATCTATATTAGTCCAAAGGGTCAGACGGTAAAAAGGAAAGGAAAAAAAAAAAAAACCACTGTATATAAAAGAGGCCAGCCTTTCAAAGTTGGGCTTCCAACCTAGTCAAACACAATCCAACTCAAACTAAAACTCAAGAGAAATAAAACAAAGTCCGAAGAAATAAATCAATCAATAAATATAAAAATAAAAACCCCTAAATTAAGTTTCTCTCTCATCAGTTTTCAACTCGCCTGCCTTTTTTCTCTCTCTTCTTCGTTTTTGGTTCAGTAATCAAATACTACTCTACCAATCTCTCCTTCAATTTTCCAGACAATTATACTAGTACTACAAATTCCTCTCATAAAATCAATTTTACCCGCCAAAAAAGGTTTCATTTTTCTCGAATTTTTATTTTAATTTCCTAAATTTTCAACGTCTTCCTTCTTCCTCTTTTTTGAGTTTTTCCCTCTCTTTCTCTCTCCTCCTTCCTCTCACTTTCTCTCTCTAGGGTTTCCTCACCTCTCACTTTCTCTCTCCTCTTCCTTCAATGGCGGCTAATCTCTCTCTTTGTTTGTTTTCTCCATTGCAGGTACTTCGACCTTTGTTTCTCGCGCTTTCTTTGTCTTATGGATGATTGTTTGCCGATTTCCGGCGACATCGGCGGCGGAGGTGGTGGTGTGAAGCGAGCGATGGAGGTCGAGGTTGCGATTGACGGCGGCGGATGTGGTGGTGGTGGTGAGGTGGTGACGGTGAAGAGGAGGAAGAAGGAGGTTGTGGAGATGAAGAGAGTGGCGGAGATTGTGCTTGTGTTATCTGCTTTAGGAAGGATGAGAGCTGGAAGAGATCCGACGGTTGCGGAGAAGGCGATGATGGCGGAAGCTAGGGGTAAGGTTGTGTCTATGTGTGAGGAATTGGCTCCTAAAGATATTCTCCCTACCGAAGCTTTTGGTGCTGTGATTGAAGATTTAGGGCTTAATCGTTTGAAGGATCGAAATGTAGGGTTTCGCCCTCCGAAGATCTCGATTTCGGATAAGATTGCTCTTAGTAAGCGCAGGGTGAGGTTTTTATCAATTATTTTATTAATTTGAGTTTTGTTGGTTTTGTTTATTCTTGCTAGTGATTTATTCAAGTTTGCAATTGAATTAATGTTGTACATTTATGCTGAATTTGAGAAAGAAGGGAGTTACTTGTTTGTTTTATAGGTAAGAGGAAGACAATGTTGATCGTTTAAAATAGTTGAATCTATGTGACTAAAGCTTTGATTAAAGCAATAGGTTTAAATTTGATAAATTTCGTGTTTGCTCCATAGGGTGTTGTACTAGTACATTTGTGTGTAAATTTTCATTCTTTACGCTGATTATCTTTGCAATACCACACACAACTTATTGTTATTGTTGCATCTGCTTATTATTCCATCCGTTTCAAATTAAATGCCCCTGTTTGGCTTATGCCATTATTCACACACTCCACTGTGACCTTTGTTTGTGCATTATAGTTTATACATAAAATTAAATTTAGTCATGTAGGTAATTGTTAGAATCGTCTCAATATAGTTTTCAAGTATTGACTTATTATAATTTGATAATTTATGCTCGTTGATAATTAATGATATTATTAGTCAAAGTTTTGCTTTTGCAAATGTGCTAGTCAAATGTGACATAACTGTGACATTAAATGTCCTGTAAAACATGAGGTTTTAGAGATATTGATTGATTATACTTGTACTTATTAGAGATATGAAATATACTCAATATAGGAAAATATATTTGTGTGATATATTACCTTTTTCATATTTATATTGGGTAAATTAGAATATCTTTAGGATATTTACTTATTTCGGATTATCTTCTGGGGAAGTAAGGTGTTAGGATTGTTACCTAATCACCGAGATTGACTAGGTTATGTCTAGCCTAAATACTTGGTGATTTATTCAATAATATGAGAAGCCATACTCTTTACTCTTTACCCCAAACTTGTGAAAACTTATATTCAGGCATATTTTTCTCTACTTTTATTTTAAGTTGCATTTTGATTACCTCGTACCAAACGAGCCATTAGTTATGTTGAGTACTGAGGTCAGTCTGAGAGCTATTCGGCTTTAATATGTAGAGGTATTTACTTGTCTGCTTGGATCTGCTACGTCCCTGGAGTCTTGCACTTGTCATTAAAAGCTTTTATATGAAAAATCAACCTTGAGTCTTCAATCTGTGGTTGCTATTAGCTTTGCATGTTTGTTTGACATTGTACTTCTGAGTAGCATGTGCTGTTTTTTTTTCCTCAAAAAAAAAAAAAAAAAAAAAAAAAAAAGCATGTGTGTTTGATAGGAAAAATGATCATTGGTCTATGAAAAATACTACGGTTTTGGTTTTGGTTTTAGTTTTAGATTATGAAGGAGTAGGATTTTTTATTCAGGTCATGATAAGAATGCAACTGTCTTTTTGCTCATGTTGAGTAGTAGGCTGTGCTGGTAAATATAATTTGGAATTGCATGACATGGGATTTCTATTCTGTTTATATTGTTGATTTTTATTACTAATGCTATGTTCTTTGAGATAGCTCAATGACAATAGTTAAATCTGTCATGCATGCAAAGTTGCAGACTTATTTGCCCCGATCTGACTACTTTCTGTTCCTTTGATTGATATATATTGTAGATGGAAGAATCCAAGGCTTTTGCTGCACAGCCTGCTACATTTTCATCTCAGAGAGTGCAAACTGCTACTGGGGCTGTTGGTGAGAATCGTGGACCACCTTCTGCTGTCCGTGGGTTCCCTTCTGATAAAGTGGGTCATGTGCCTGTATCCACAGGAGCTTTTCAACCTCCTACTACTGTTGCTAGTGTTTCTTCTACAGCTTCTATGCCCGTGCGGAAACACCCTTCTGGCACTGAAGCTCGCCCTCCAGTTGTTTCTTCAGTTCCAAATAATATGGGAAGGGATCCAATGTCTGTGATGCCTCCTAGACTTGATAGAGCTCATATAAGACCTGACGTCAGACCGAATGGGCAATCTTTGCCTCATGTTCCAGGTTTGTTATTTACCGCTGCCCATCTATTCTGATAAAATTCAATTGTGTTTATACTCGTTTCCTTCTTTGTTAGCTGTGTTGAGTCATGATTGCATGATGAGCTAGTTGCCTAGTCAAACTGCTGCTATTGAATTGTTCTGAATGCTTTAAAATTTTTTGTTGGCTGTTAACATTTCTATAAAAATGCACAATATTAATCATTAGTTGCTGGAACTATAGGTGTAATAGATTATTTTCTATTGAGGCATCAGTTTTGATTAAGGCTTATGGGATTAAGGCTTTGATTGATTGATTGATTGATTGATTGATTGATTGATTGATTGATTGAGGCATCAGTTTTCATTTAGTTGCCTTTTACAGATGTATAATCTTAATAATTATGATATATATTTCATAAATGAATAATACTTATTTTCTTGAAGCACCATTCACCTGTTTAAATACTACTAGACATTGATTTAGAAAATAATTGAAAGTAGGATTGTCCATTGTATCATAATATACAATTTTCTGGGTGGGCAGTTGTTCGGGGTAAATATGGGTCTTACACCATTATATACCCTTGGTTTACTATGAGTCATATTATTGGTCAGGGGCATTACTCATACAAATGACGTCAAGTTTGTAAGATACGAAGAATTGCTTTATTTGATACTTCAGGAACGTGCACTATACAGCAATGTGTTATATTCATCCTGAGCGTACACGCAATTTTCTAGATATATTAGATTTTTATCTTAGTGTGTGTGTGTGTGTGTGTGTGTGTGTGTGTGTGTGCTTGAAATAGCCGATTAAGAAAGTATTTTTTTTTAATACATACAATCACTCTCCATGTAGAGAATATAGGTCCTTTTGTCCTTTTGTCCTGCTGGTACCTGATATGTACTCATACGATGAACTATAGTTTACAAGGTGCTTTAATTCTTAGAAAGGTTTTGTAAGTTTTGACACAATAATAGTACTAGAAACAAGCGCTGAAGTGCGTTTCTTCCTATAGCAGGGATTTAACATCAAATGGCAAACCTATAAATAAATCAACAACTTTTTGTTAAATATAGGCCCCACAGTTGTTGATATAATTACAAAATTGCTATTTTGATTGGACATTCTTGTTGATTTATTTATGGTTTTGCCACTTGATAAACGAATATTTGGCTCCCTTAGGCTTCATTGGGAAGTTCACAATTCATGTTGTTTATTTTTGAGACCTCACTGGCTCACTTTTTCTCTATTCAAACCTCATATTTTGTTTTTCTCATGTTATAATGATTATGCATACACTACTTTGTGCCTTTTACTCTGCTGTGCTAAAGCTTACCTTGTTAGTTTGCAACAATGCTCTAGATATCATTTGATTCATGGTGATATTTTTTTTATTTGTTATTTCCAGCATTCTCATTTAATTGTATAAGTGTTCATATGACACAGTTATAGATTATGTGAACCTCAATCTATTGTAGTCATTTAAGTACCATAATTAGTGTAGAGGTTGTAGAATAGCTGCAAACTTATACATATATACCTTCTATTTCTCAGTAAGCTCTGCAACTAATCAACATACGGTGAGGACTACTCCTGTACACCTGCGACCTCAACCTCCAATGCAGGTTAATGTTGGAACAAAGAATATGGTGCCAGCTCAACTGCCTGCAAGATCTGACATTAATGTCAGTTTAAGTGGTCCACCAATGACATCACAATCAGCTGTTGGTCACGTGCCAGGGCTCATCGTCAGTCACACAGCTCCTGGAGCTCTGCCTACTATGCATCACCCAGTTCAGGGTATGCCATTTGTTCATACTCCTGCTGTCAATCACCACCTTGAGGTATCTAGGATAGTGCAGAGGTTTCTGAACCCAAAGCCTCCTCCACGTTCTGTGTGGACTCCTCCTTCAAGGGATTATATGAACAGGGCATTATTATGTCAGTTCTGCAAGCTGGCTATCAACGAGGTTGAAAATATGGTGGTTTGTGATGCTTGTGAGAAGGGTTTCCATATGGGATGTCTTCAATCACACAATGCAAAAAGCATTCCTAGAGGAGAGTGGCATTGTCCTAGGTGCTTGACAATGAGCCATGGGAAACCGTTTCCTCCAAAATATGGCCGTGTTACCAGAAATATGAATGTACCAAAAGTCCTTTCAAACACAACTGGAGTTCAATTGCCTTCTGAGAGAAAGGCAGGATCCATGGTTGAGAAGGTGAATCAGCCAAATGCAGTTATTGACAGATTTCAAGATTTCAAAACACACTCTCAGATGAACCAACCAAATGCAATAGACAGAATCCAAGATTTTAAACCACACACTCAAGTGAATCAGCTAAACGCAACGACAAATGGAAGCCAAGATTCTAAAGCGCACTCTAAGGCTGTTAAAGTTATTGAACCATCGTCTGAGTCAATCCTGCGACGTGGGAGTGAGATTAATGGAAAGGATATATTGCAAGGCTTAAAGGAAGATGAACCTGGGTCAAATAATTGCTTAAACAACACAACAGAAAATGCAGTTGATCCCTCTTTATCAAAATCACGAGAACCTTCTAGTGATAAACCTTCCCTGCAGGTGAAATCTGAAATATCTTCTTCTGAAGATAGGTTGATGTCTGAGGCAGAGCCCAAATTTCCAGCCATACCTCAAGCAAATAACAGACTTAATGACTTACCAGCATCAAGCAATCAAAACAATGTTGATCAAAAAGTGTTAGATAGTGTTGAAATTTCACTACATCAAAACAGTGACAGCAATGGCGTTATTGATTCCCCCCAGTGTAACAATGATAATAATGATGAAAAAGATGATGTGCAGAAAAATCTAGTTGAGATGGAGAGGATTAGTGACCTTGCTGAGGAGTTTACTGACAATAATTCAGAGAGTTGCTTGCATAATGTTGACTGGGTTGGTGATGCAGATAGAGTCGTAGATGAAAATAAGTTTTTTCGGTCTTGTCGCATCAATGGAATGGTATATCAATTGCAGACTTATGTCCTTCTCCGTTCTAAAAATGGCAAATTGATACCTGTAAAGCTCCAGGTAAATGTTACCCACATCAACATCTGGATGCCATTTAGCTTCTTGTGTAGAATGCTATATTTTCTCAACTTTAAAAATATAAGGTTACATTTGATCCATAATATTCATACACCTATGTAGCTAAATCATGTTTTGGCTGTATAATGATGTTTTTATTATGCTTCAGGACATGTGGGAGGATATTCAAACTAGTTCGAAATGGCTTGTTGTCCATAGGTGTTACTTTCCTGATGACTTGCCAGAGGAGGTTGGCCGCCCGGGTGCTCCTCAAAACAATGAGGTGCATTTTTGTAAAAAAGAACCTATTTTATATAGATTTTTTTTTTTTTAATCATTTTCTCCTTTTGACTTTAAAAAGGTCATAGTAAGTCTGATATATAATTATACAACATCTAGAATGATGTTGGCCATTGCAACTTTGCAAGTGAGAAATTTGGATTATGACGGTGGATTTGTCATGTTTGTTTGTGGTAGGTCTATGAGTCTACTCATGATAGCAAGGTGCTGGCGGGTTTAGTTCAAGGCCCATGTGAAGTCCTTCCATTCAGGAAGTTTGGAGAAGAAGCTGAAAAAAGTGATCAAGGCTCTCCCATGAATGACCAGAAGCAGCCAGTTTTTATACGCAAGTATGTGTGTGTTTAGTTATTTATGGCTGTAAATGTTAAATTTGTGGCAACATAGGAATTATTGGATGTGTGTGATTTGTTTGTTGAGAAAGAGAGATTTTGTGCAAGGTTTACGTAACGGGGTACCTTTTTTTCTTCTTCTAGAGGTCAACCAAGGTTCGTCATAACAACTTTGTACAACCTGACTTATTTCTGGTGCAAACAAGTATCAGTTAACTGACTCTGTTGTGTTGTATTAAAAGAATAATGTTGGTAGTGTTTCCTGGTTGTAGGCATTCAAGTTTTCCTAATACTTATGAGCATAGATATGTGTTTTTTCATCATATGAGACATCTACCAATGAAGTACATGGATTATGTAATGTATACATTTATCTGTGTCATAATAGTTTTTTCCTGTATCGTACATATCCCCAAGACGAATTAAAATAGGAATGATGATTGGAATTTTTTTCCTGTATATGTTTTGTTTGAGAATTTTGAAGTGTTATGCTACATTTGTAATTATTTGCCTATGCCTTGCAGTTGGTTCTATGATGAGACAAGACGAGCTTTTTGCCCCAACGCTAGCTGATCTTGGATGTTGTTAAATGCTGTACTTGGTGATGCTTTCAGAACCTTTCGTGGCATACAGCTCATATGTCTTCAGGTAGGACGCTTTGTAATGGTTTTCTTTTGAATGAAGTTGTATTTGATTGTTTTTAGAGATTGGATAGCCTTTGTCTGTTGGGGAGAGGGGGGATGAGAGAGAGAGAGACTGAGTTTTATTAATTACAATTATATAAACATAAAAGAATATATAATTCCAGATAAAAGAACTTGTATAATTTTGATTTCCTTAAGAATTATTTAAATTGAATAACATTGTAAGTTTCACTATAATGAACATGAAAAAAGGACCGTAACTGAGAGTGCGCATCATGCTCTTGGCTGTAGCATCTGAGCTTCTTGTAAATTTGCAAAATATTAGTAACAGTCTGGACTCTGGGTGATGTCGTTAGGTAGTTTCTGAGTGTCTGAAGTGATTCCTTTTGTCAATTGGTTAGAAGAAGACAATCAGCATGCAGCACTGACTAGTTGTTTTAACCAACATGAGAAGCCTTAAAAAGTCAGTGCTCCATAAATTTAGAGCTGATTTGATTGTATTAATGTTAATTGCTGGTTATGTCATGGGAAAACTGCAAATCTGTTCATCAGTCAGACATTGTCTGAGAATACTTAAAAAATCCTGGAAATTCCTGTATGAAATTAGGGATTTTTTAAGGTTAGAATACACATGACGTAGTACAGAAATTAGCGAATGAGGTTACCAAAATCTATCTGTTCTTGTTTCAAATACTCAGTATTTATTTTGTCGAGTTATGTAAGTCTTTCTCATAATACTTTCCTCTCATGTCCAGGACTCCAGGTAAATTATTGCGGATGAAGTTCTCAGCCTATAGGGTAGTCTCTTTTCTCCTCTTTTGTACAATATGTAGCATTCCTGCGTTAATTTGCCCTGTATAACATTTCTTTCACAGCCCTTTAGATTAAGTTTGTACAGGGTTTGCCCTTAATTTTTGGGTGCCCAAGCATTTGATGAATTATGATATCCAAAGCCTTTTTTTTCTTTAAATTTGTGAGTTAAGTTTGGAGCTTCCAGTAAGTACATGATCATTTTCTGGCCATATAATTGACTCCGTCGTTTTTGGTTTTGTTGCTGTTATTGTGTTTTGATCCTTTGATTGTCATTGAAGCTGATCTTTTTTGTGGATAGTATGGGTGAATACTGGAAACGTACGTTATTCATTCGAAGTATTAGTCAATTTTTTACTGTATTTAAGATCCAAATTCGGAAAATAATTATAAACGCGAACTATTTATTTTTAATCACCATGACTTTCATGCACATCTAGTCCCAAGGAATCTGAGATGAGTTATATACTACATAGCCATGGCTATAATCAATGTATTGCATCAATTACAGGTTCTTTTTGTCTCTTCCCTTTCTCTGATGCATTTGTACGTTAGTTATCTAGAATATTTGTTTCTGTAATTTGTAAGTGATATAGCATGGTTCCCTCACTTTAGTATGTATATTGTATTTACTTCTTTAGATTGTACTCTGATCCGAAACATAGGCGGCATTTGTAAACTTCACACATGTACGTTGATTTAATTTGTAGACTTGCAGTTATTTGGTTAAATTTGTTTTTTTTTTTTTTGGTGAAAATTTTTGGTTAAATTTGTAGTAGTATACTTCGTGTTAAAAGTGAGATTATATATTAAAGTGACAATTTAGGGAGTGGGATTTCCTTACCTTTCCAGTTTTCCTCCACTTTTTTAAATTGTCTAGCCGGCTAACCCGAACGGGATTAACTCGTGAGGGGTTTCGACTTAGTAAAGCCCTTCATAAAAAAACATATTGAGGAAAATGATATGCTACAGAAATTAAAAAGATAATATACATGAAGTTAAAAGTTAAAAAAACCAAGTGTCAACTTAACACTAATTACTTTAGTTATATTTTTTTAAAATATCAACTTTCACAATTTTACTACAAGATAATTGAAAATATTGATTGTTGTTAGATTTCTACATTGATAAGCATATAACTATAAAATAAATGCAATTAATGAGCAAAGGAATTTCTATAGTTTGACTTAAAAATTGTTGTTATGGAATATATAGTTATATTTGTCTCGATATGTACTTTTTTTTTAAGGATGTCTCAATGTGTATTTAAATGTATGTAATTTTCATAATACTACTAATTAGTAATGTATTTAATTAAATTAAAGATATAAAAGGCCTCATTTAGATATTGAGCAGTCAAATCGTTACAATTTTTACAAAAAAGAATGAGTATGATAAAAGAATCAAATTCTAATAGCTTTGATCTTGGAAAATATGATAGCATTTATAATTGCTTGTAATTATATTAAGAAACAAATTGAAAAAGCTTCACCCCCATCTTATAGGCAAGGACCCTAAATTAGGGCAGAATGGTTGTGCATGTTCGAAACATTTCATCAATTGATGTCAAGATATTAGAAAATTATTGGTTTCCTAGACAAAGCTATGCCTTAGGATAAGTCATATTTCAACTGATTTATGTTTTGCAAAAGCATCAAACTTTAATGAAGTATTTGTCCTTTGTGACAGAGTTTTTATTGGTTGATGTAAAATTTGTTTCCTATGTCTCAGTTGACAACAATAGGTCATTCTTAATCTATGATTGAATCCAAAACCAAGAGTTTACTTCTAAATAATGGCCAAAGATGGTTGTCCTAGCTCTTGAAGATGTTTGAAAAGTCCGTGATTTTTTCCCCTACCATTTTGGTACGTAAGACAAAGGGTCTTAACGAGTTAAAAATTCTCACATGTTAATCCAGTCCGACATATATAAAACTAAGCACTTTGAGAGTGGTGGGAGTAGATGAGTAGTTTATGTGTTAAGTATTGGAGCTTATGGATGTGTATGATATGTACAATTTTCAAATCCATTCATCTTCAAATTTAGCATAAAAGATACTGTAAATGGTTTCCCTACTTTTATAGGTGAAGTTATGCATGATAGAAAAGTAAAGTAGATTAGAGTCAGGACTATTATAGGCAAATACAAAGTAATGTTACCCTATAATTAATTTGGTAAATGGTCATAAATTACAAGAATGATAATAAAGATTAAACTTTATGTCGGTCCATAGCTATGTAATTCCTTTCCTAACATATTATCTTCATAATTGTCATAATCTTTCGTTATCGCTTGAGAGATACTATTGAGTTGTAATAAAAAGTAGGCGCTTTTGTTGATGGATTTTTATTACCATGATAATCCGCAATAAATCTATGCTCATATGAGATTTTTACTAATAAATTTATACATAAAATCACTAATCACTCAATTTATAATTATTTACCAAATATGAGTCGATCATGAGAAAAAAATATACGTAATAGTAATTTTTTTTTATATATAAAAAGTTATGTCATTTTACCTCACCTGCTTTTAATCTTTCTCCTTCACCCGACATCTTCTAATTATTGCATCCCCTTTGGATACGGTGTAAACTTTGAATAAAACCACCCATGATGAAACCCATAAAGCTCACTTTGTCCCTGCCCTTAATCCAAAATATATATACATATATATATATATACATATATATATATATACATATATATATATATACATATATATATATACATATATATATATATACATATATATATATATATATATATATATATATATATATATATATATATAACTTTTTTGAAAAATCAACAAATAAACCACCAAACCTTAGTTAGAAATCTTAAACAAATGAGAGGGCACAAAGAATCACAAAATCATCTTTGATTTTTGGTGGAATAATACGTAAAGACTTTTGTGATGCTAACATAATTATTAAATTAACCATCTTTTTGACTATGTTTACCTAACTACATCTTTAATACGAAGTAGTTGCTTTAAACAATCGTCAAATGATATGGAAATTTATTCTCTACTACACGTTCTTCACTCGCATTGCTCCTAACAAAACCTTAACCCTTAATTATTCCCTAAAGGCCCTAATTCTTCATTAAAGTCATAACGCTTTCACGACTTTTTTTTTTTTTTTTTTTTTTTTTGACAAATGCTTTCACGACTTTATTCTAACTAGGTTAAAAGATTCATCATCAAGTTATTATCGATTCTAAGCTTCAATCTTAATGTCATTAGTCATTAGCTAGGTTTGTTGATTTAGTTACGATTTATTTTAGTCGGACTAATAATGTTATTTTCGCCTGTTTATGTGCAGTTTAAGTCTAATAAAATTCCTTCAAAAAAAAAGTCTATAAAATGTTATAAAAGTCATTAGAAACTTAGTATAGATTCTTAATTACAAGAAAAAAATTCAATATAAAAAAGGAAAAAATGATATATTTTATACTTCTTATAACAACCAAGTATTTTAAACCAAGGGCTCAACAATGCCAAAATTTAATAATATCTAATTATAAATCAAATACTCCCCATCAATTACTATTTAAATTTCATCCATTAATATAAGTACTTGCAGATTTGCTCACAAAAGATTCCTTTGTACCAACCTTTGAGTATTATTTTGACTAGAAATAATTAAAAATCACTCTTTTTGACTATAATTTGAAGACAAACACTTTTAGTTATTCAACCAACCATGAAATCAAAAGACTCCTTTTCCAATTAATTTTTATAATAGCTAATTAACCACCTTTTCTATCTTATACAGTAGTTCCATCCTCATCTACTCTTACGAAAATTGTAGTTTGCTCTACTAGATCAAATTTGAGATTTATATTATTTTTCTTAGCTATTTGAATTTGTACTTCATGAAAACATTGAAACACGTACGTTTTGTGATAGTAATTACTATTTTGTGTAATTTAAATTTGTGTTTTTATAGCAAAATGTGGAGTACTAAAGTGCGAGATAGTATTGCATCTTTTAGGTTTTGTTTAGTTCAACTTACTTTTACTTATTTCTGAAAAAATAAGTTCACATTAGATCAGATAAAAAAAATAAGTTCAGATCAGAACATCGTCTTATATGCAATTTTTTATCGCTAAATATCTTTAATTTAGTAGTAAAAAAGTTATGAAAATTACATATTAATAAAGTACACATTATTACGAATCTAACAATATCCCACTTGATATATTTTTTCTTACAGATTATCGTACACTTAAGGTCAAAGTTTAGTCAAATCAGACAATAAGATCATATAAGACAAGGCCAAATCAGATAAGATAAGTTTAAATCAGCAAAAATAAGGTGAAAATATTGGCTAGATGACTAAGGTAAGTAATAGATGTCCTTGTTTCTACCATTCCCTGACTAAGGGTCTTAATCTGGTCGAATAATTATTGTTTTAAAGCTTGGTTAGCTTTTGACTGCCCAAAGCTAGTAATTAACAACTAAAATTAGTTAATTATATTATAATCTTATCTTAGATCAAAAATCATTTTTAATGGTTTTTGCTTCTCATACAACAAGAGTTATTTATGATTTATTTACAAGTAATTTAATGGAGTGTTTAATTTGAAACGGAAGCAAGTCAATTGAGTGATGAATGTCATGATTTGAAAATGGGACCATATAAAATCATTAAGCAATATAAGAAGCTACTAATCGAATTGATTAGTTTTCTATGATTTGTTTACTTCAGTGTTTGCAATGACTAATCAAAGTATTAAGGCAATAGCAGAAATAAAACAATAAAAAAGAAAAAAAAAAGATTAAAGTAATTGGCAGACAGTTGAATCTTGCTTCAACTGGTTAAGCTATGTAATTAATGTATAATATCACCTCAAAAAGCGTTTAGTGTTTAAAATTGGGGTTAGTTGGTAGTTAAAGAAGTTAGAAACCAAAACGCTATCACGGCCTAGAGTCACGTGATCAGCCGATATTCACGGATTCTTTCTAAGGAATTAAGGACTACCGAAAGTGGGGAAGAATGATTAAATGGCTCTAGATTACTTATTAGTTATTGCCATGATTTACTTTGCAGTAAAGATGGTTATGGACCGTGTTATATTGTTTTGAAATTGAGTGGCTAGACACATCTTAACTCATGCCAAAATTGTGCCTCGAACATAACCTAGAGACACAACCTAGTGCCCGACATGGTGACATGTGTATTGTGCTTGTAATATAACTTGTTTTCTCATGGTAGATTGTGTCATGTCTCTAATAGGATGTTTGACCCATTATACAATAATG